GAGGCCTTCCATGGGGCATCTTTAAAGTCTGTCCTATCATTTGGAGCAGGGCCTAGACTCTCCCCTGTGTGTCTAGGCTGAGAGAGTATCCCTCTATGAGGAGAGTGCTCCTAAAGTTTATTTATGTACTAGGGGCAAATACTGATTCACTACCAATGACCCCATAGATTGTTCAGATCTCCAAACTGACATCATCCTTCAGGAGGTCTGAAAAGGGACAAGATCTCCTAAGCCAATTGGGAGCATGGGGGGAGACGAGAGAGAGTTACAAGAAAAAGAAGGGGAGAAGGGGAGGGGAGAGGAGGACATGAGGGAACAGAAGATGTAGTCAGGGGAAGAATAGAGGAGAGCAAGAAAAGAGATACCATCATAGAGAGAGTCTTTATAGATCTAAAGAGAAATCTGGCACTAGGGAAATGTCCAGAGATCTACAAGGATGACACCAACTAACAATCTGAGCAATAGTAGAGAGGCTACCTTAAATGCTCTTCCCCTATAATGAGATTAATGACTAACTAGTATGCCATCCTAGAGCCTTCACCCAGTAGCTGGTGGAAGTAGAAGCAGACACCCACAGCTAAACACTGAACTGAACTGGAATCCAGTTGCAGAGAAGGAGGAGTGATGAGCAAAGGGGTCAAGACCAGGCTGGAGAAACCCACAGAAACAGATGACCTGAACACAGGGTTGCTCATGGACCCCAGACTGAGAGCTGGGAAAACAGCATAGGCCTGTTCCTTGGATCACTTCTTAAACATTTTGTCAGACAGTTGCCCTGATTTAGTTTACCATGCAGGGTCTTTATTTCTCTTATGGAAAATTCTTTCAATATAAGACAGATTATTCTTATCCCCTTTTGATATTAATTTGGCTTCTGGGTTCTCTGCTCCTGATGTCTGCATTTGGGTCCTATCTGGTTCTATCTGAATGAATGAAAGATAATTGTCCAGTATAGTGTATCCCTCATTAAGTATGAAGGAATATCAGAACCATGTGGATAAAGACATTTCTTGGGGCTGGTAATGTGTTGTAATTGTTTCCTTTTCAAGTTCTTTATCTTTTTTCCCCTGATATCTCATGAAAAATGAAGAAATTAGAATGATTATGACATTAAAGAAGCTTTTTGGCCTGATGTGGTCAGAGGTTTCCCTATTCAGGATGAGGAAAGCAATCAGCCTACCCACACAGACTACCCACACAGACTACCCACACAGACTTCTCTTGATATTTTGAAAGTGGAAAACCCGAGTCTGAATGACACTTTTCTGAAAAGTCCTGAATTATGAAATGTGTAACATTGCCTGAATACAGAATGTGGTGCATACTGTCTGGTTGTAGTTCAGTGGACTTTTACTCAGTCCTCTTGATAGATGGTCATGGTCCTGTCCCTGACATGAAGTCCTGGCCAGGCCATCGCCTTATGACTAGAATCATTAGGATTGGGCCAGAGAGTTGGCTCAGAAGATGAGAGTACTTGTTGATCTTGCTGAGGAAATTGGTTCCATTCCCAGTGTCCATATGGTGACTCACAACTGTCTGTAATCTCCATAGGACATCTGCTTCTGATCTCTGCAGGCACCAGCTGCATGTGGTACATCTAGAGACAAGCAGGCAAAACACCCATACCAAAAAAAGAAAAAACAATTTTAATGTATTTTTAAATGAGCAAATGATTGAACATACAGATATACAAAGAGATAAACATGAGAAAATATGCTCTATAGTTTTATCTGTACAAGGCAGGTACAAACCAAAGCACAGTAAGAAATGTTGATAATAATCAGAACTCAGCTGAGCATGGTGGCACAGGCCCGAAATCACAGCACTTGGCAGGTGGAGGCGGGAGAATCAGGAGTTCAAAGCCCACTTTAGCTACATAGAAAGCTTAAAACCCTGTTACGAAAGTATGCAAAAAAGAATGTGCTGAAAAGATGGCCCGATTGTTAAGAACACTTTTTGTTCTTGCAGAGGACCTGAGTTCCCAGCACCCAGAGGATTGCTCAAACAACCTGTGACTGCAGTTCCAGGGGGATCTGATGCATTCTTCTGACTTCCTCAGGCACCAGGCATATAGGTAGTACTTTCATACACATAAAATTAGTAGAAAAATGTGTTAAATAACAAGAAAATGTACCATATATCTGAAAAAGGTGGAAAAAATTTTTACAAATATTCATCATAAATAAATAGCAAACATTTGAAGAGAAAAATATGTGTAACCTATTTTAAATTTTATAGAATATACGAATTATCAAATGTTGCATAGCATCCCACTAATATGTATGATTTTACGTATTGATTAAAATGAATTTTTAAAAGTCACAGTGCAATGTCACTTTATACTTAGCATAGTGACATAAGAAAAATAATAAATAAATAAATATTAACACTATGGATGTAGAAAATTAAAACCCCGAGCAACAACTCCACCCCATGCCATGTGGCTTTAGCAGGTGGGACTCAACCAAATGCAGCCTGGGCTTTCTAGCCCTGGTATTGGAGAGGACTCCAACAACACCTCCACACCAACCAGGAGCCAGACAGGTGGGCAAGCCTGTGATCCCTTTGTGATCAAGAAGCATAGTCCTGCCCAGCACCAAGACAAACTAAGAAGGATAAGGAGACTCACATGCCAGCCTGGGGTAGCTCCAACCTGGGCCCACCTGGCACTTCGTGGCACCAGGCAGGTGAGCAAAGGGATGGTGTGGTGTGGGAGAGGCACAGCGGAAGAACTGAAAGCAGTGAAAAGTGAGCTGAGGTGGGTGGCTTCATTGCCACCCAGAGCCATCGTGATGGCTAGGCCTTTGCTTATTTGGAGGGTGGTGTGTGTGTGTGTGTGTGTGTGTGTATGTGTGTGTATGTGTGTGTGTTACTTTCATGTAGTCTAGGCTGGAAAAATGGAAACTTTTTCTTGAGTCAAAATCTCACTATGTAGCCCTGGCTGGCTGACCTAGAACTTGCTCCACACACCAGGCTGACCTTGAACTCAAAAAGATCCACCTACCTCTGTTTCCTGAGTGTAATTTTCTTTCTTAGTTGTGTCTTTGTGTGGTTTGGGTACCAGGGTAACTGTAGCCTCGTAAAATGAGTTTGGCAATATTCCTTCTGTCTCTATTGTGTGGAATAATTTGAGGAGTATTGGTATTAGATTTTCTTTGAACATGTGGTAGAATTCTGTGCTGAAACCATCTGGGCCTGGGCTTTTTGTGTTGGGAGACTATTGGTAACTGTTTCTATTTCCTTAGAGGTTATAGGTGTATTTAAGTTGTTTATCTATTCTTGATTTAATTTTGGTATGTGGTACTTATCTAGAAAATTGTCCATCTCCTAAAAGTTTTTCAGTTTTGTGGAATACAGGTTTTTGAAGTATGACCTGATGATTCTCTAGATTTTCTCAGTGGCTCTTATGTCTCCCTTTTCATTTCTGGTTTTGTTAATTTGGATAGTCTCTCTCTGTCTTTAGGTTAGTTTGGATAACGATTTGTGTATTTTGTTGAATTTCTCAAAGAACCAACTCTTTGTCTCATTGATTCTTTGTATTGCTTTCTTTTGTTTCGATTTTATTGATTTCAGTCCTCAATTTGACCATTTCTTGCTATCTACTCCATCTAGGTGAATTTGCTTCTTTTTGTGCTAGCGCTTTCAGTTGTTCCATTAATTCACTAGTGTGGGATTTTTCCAGCTTCTTTATGTAGGCACTTAGTGCTATGAACTTTCCTCTCGGCACTGCTTTCATTGTGTCCCATAAGTTTGGGTATGTTGTGTGATTATTTTCATTAAATTTTAGGTAGTCTTTAATTTCTTTCTCTATTTATTGACCCAGTAGTGGTTCAGTTGACAATTGTTCAATTTCCATGTGTTTGTGGGCTTTCTGAAATTAATGTTGCTCTTGAATTCTAACTTTAAGCTGTGGTGATCTGATAGGGCACAGGGGTTTATTCCCATTTTTTTAAATCTGTTGAGGTTTGCTCTGTTACCAAGTATGTGGCCTATTTTTGAGAAGGTTCCATGATGTGCTGAAAGAAAGTATATTCTTTTGTGTTTGTGTGAAATGTTCTACAGGTGTCTGTTAAGTCCATTTGAGTCATAACATTGTTAGTTCCCTTATTTCTCTGTTAAGCTTCGTCTGGCAGACCTGTCCAGTGGTGAGAGTAGGGTGTTGAAGTCTCCCACTATTAGTGTGTGGGGCTTGATTTGTGATGTAAACTTTAGTTATGTTTCTTTTATAAATGCAGGAGCCCTTGTGTTTGTGGCATATATGTTCAGAACTGATATTTCCTCTTCATGGATTTTTCCTGTGGTGAATATTAAATGCCCTTCTTTATCTTTTTTATTGATTTTAGTTTGAAGTTTATTTTGTTAGATATTAGGATAGCCACACCAGCTTGTTTCTTAGATCTATTTGATTAGAAAAAAATTTCCCAACCTTTTACTCTAAGGTAATGTCTGTTTGTAAGGTTGAGGTGTATTTCTTGTATACAGCAGAAGGATGGATTCTGTTTTCATAGTCAATCTATTAGCCTGTGCCTTATTATAGGTGAATTGAGACTGTTTATAGTAATGGATATTAATGACCAGTAATTGCCAATTCTTGTTATTTTTATTTTTGTTGTTGGTGGTAGTATTGTGTGTGCAATTACCTTCTTTGGGATTTGTTGCTATAAACTCATCTATTGCCTGTGTTCTTGTGGATGTAGCTGACTTCCTTGGGTTGGTGTTTTCCTTCTAGTACTTTCTGTCTATCTGGGTTTACGGATAAGTATTGTTTAAATTTGGTTTTATCATGAAATATCTTGTTTTCTCCATCTATGGTTATTAAAAGCTTTGCTGGCTAAAGTAATCTGGGTTGGCATCCATTGTCCCTTAGTGTCTGAATAACGTCTGTCCAGGACCTTCTGGCTTTCATTGTTTCTGTTGAGACGTCAGGTGTAATTCTGATAGGTCTGCCTTTACATGTTTCCTGTCCTTTCTCCTTTGCAGCTCTTAATATTCTTTCTTTATTCTTTATGTTTACTGTTTTGATGATTATGTGGAGATACGACTTTTTTTGGTCCAGTCTATTTGGTGTTCTGTAAGCCTCTTGTACTTTCATAGGCATATCCTTCTTTAGCTTGGGGAAGTTTTCTATGATTTTGTTGAATATATTTTCTGTGCCTTTGAGTTGGACTTCTTCTCCTTCTTGTATCCCTATTATTCTTAGGTTTGGTCTTTTCATGGTGTCCCAAATTTGCTGCATGTTTTGTGTTAAGGATTTGTTGGATTTAAATTTTTCTTTGACTGATGAATCTATTCCTTGTATCATATCTTCCACGCCTGCAATTGTCTCTTCCATCTCTTCTATTCTGTTGTTTATGCTTGTATTTGTGGTTCCTGATAATTTACTCAGATTTTCCGTTTCTAGAATTCCCTAGGTTTGTGTTTTCATTATTGCCCCTATTCCAGATTTCAAGTCTTGAATCATTTCCTTCACTTGTTTGATTACTTTTTCTTGGTTTTCTTTAAGGGATTTGTCGATATCTTCCAATTTTTGCTTGTATTTTCCTCCACTTCTTTAAGGGAATTTTTCATTTGCTCTTTAAGAGTCTTAATCATCCTCATAAAGTTATTTTTGGGTCATTTTCTTCTCCTTTATCTGTGTTGGGATGTTCAGGTCTTGCTGTTGAGTGTGTTCTTACCTTTTTGTCTTGAAAGACTCCCATGGGGTGGAACCCCCTGGATGAACACTCTGGAATGGCGACCCCCCAGTCACCATGTGGAGATGAAAGCTTGATGCAAAGAGCAAGAGGCTATTTTATTCAGTAACTGGCCCCTGGACCAACTGGTTACTCATACAGAAGCAGAGGAGCTGGACCCTGAGCTCTGATCTAGGGGCTTCTTAAAGGCAAAAACTTCAAACAGATGGGGTCTGGGGTGAGCGAGGGTAACAGTTCTGATTGGCGCATTCCAGGTGGCTGACTGCAATCTCCAAGCACAATCTCTGGGCTCAGGGGTGGTTTAGGGCAGTTACATGTGCATCTCTGGGAACCATTTTTTCTTTAACTTTAGCGACTCTTTCCTGTTAGGGGTCGTAAATTTAGCTTCTCACATATCTGCAAAGGAAACATCTTAGGCTGGGGTCCTTTAGGATCTCATTGCATAGCAGGCAAATGAGATCCCATCCAGTCAAAAAGGCAGGCCATAAGTGTGGAGGCCATAAACTACAGAGTTTCTATGGTTACTTAAGGTCACACAAAGTATAGAGTCAGTTAGTGACTATACAAATTAAGGGGGATACATTTGACTGAGATAAGACAGGGCATGAGGTTGTGGGGGTTACCAGGTCTGTCAATTATCCTCTGGGCTGGGGAACCAGCAGGGCACCTTTACAACCAGCAATCAGCAAAGGAATGCCAACAAGAGTGATAAGTCACCTCTGCCTCTCTGGGAGCAGGGCTCAGGCGCCAGCCATGGCATTCCCAGCCATCAGAAGCTCTCCCTCTCTCTTCCCCTCAGAGCCCAAGTCTTTCCAACCTTCACCAATTTTTTGATCCCAGAGTCTATGCATCTTTTTCTCTAATCTGTATAGGTGGAGTTAGCTTGTGTTTCAGGGGGGTTTCTTTTTCTCCAAGTAGTATAGTTGGGAGCTGTGGCTCCCTTGACCTCTCCTTCAGGCACAAGCAGAGCAGAGCCTTCAGTGAATGGTCCTCCTTTTGGAAGTGGGCCCAAGGCTCTGGTGATTGCTCCTCTAGGTGTTGGTGGTGCTGAGGGTCCAGTGGTCAAAGCCACAGTGAGGTATCTCTAACTGAGAAATGGCAGTGGGTGCTGGCTGGGACACAGGTGCTCTTTCCCAGAGGAAATTCTCACAACAGTTTCTGGAAGCCACTGCTGGAAATGGCTGGTATAATCTCACCCAGCTGTTGCTCCTTGCTTTTGGGCCATAGGCTTGGGCCTCCCTCTGCAGCTGCTGCTGGGCCTGAGGCTCAGTCCTCCCTCTTCAGCTGCTCCTGGGCTGGGCTTCAGGCCCCTCATGGAAACTGCACCAGGCCTGAGCCTCAGGCCTCCCTCTGCTGTTCTCTAGGCCCGAAGCTCTGGCCTCCCTCTGACACTGTTCCCGGTTCTGAGGCTCCTGGCTCTCTTGACACTGCTCAGCGCCTGAGGCTCAGGCCTCCCTCTGCAGCTGCTTCTGAGCTGGGCTTCAGGCCTCCCTCTAATGCTGCTCTGGGCCTGAGCCTCAGGCCTCCCTCTGGTGCTGCTCCAGGCCTCTTTTTATAACATTTTAAGGGTGTAAATTGTATAGAGAAATATAGCTAGTTTTAGAAATTAGTTACTTGCACCAGGAAGTAAAATCACAATTGAAACAGAGATCTTGGTTGTAAAAGCTACCAATTTTATATACTGACCATAATGCTACAATAAACAGTGTGGATACCCTGGTGAAGTGATTATTTCAGTTTCTTTGGAGACAAGGCCTCAATTCTGCAATACAGGTCTTTGCCTCTGCCCCTGTTCCCGACTCTGCCTCTGTTTCTGCCTCCCCACTAGTGCAGATTATTTCAGTTTTAGAACTGAATCTATTCTGGAAATCTTTTTTAACATTGCAACTTGTTATGTCTCTAGTATATAGTGGAACAAATTAATTTTGTTTTTAACATCAATAAAATCAAAGAAGTATTACAAACTCATAGAGCAGACAGACAATCTAAATTCAGGTGTATGTTGTTCAATAGTCACTCCATTTTCTAAACAAAATCTTTTGTAATCAAAAGATTAAGCACAAACAGATAGCATTCATGTATTTGTATAAAGTCCTGTCTTGGTTTCTATGACTGTGATAAGCACCATGACCAAAAGAAATGCGAGGAGAAAAAGGTTTACTTCAGTTTACAACTCTCAGGTCATACTCCATCACTGAGGGAAATCAGGACAGGAATTCAAGCACAGCAGGAAACTAGACACTGGAACTGAAGCAGAGGCCATGAAAGAACACTGTTTATTGTCTTGCTCTTCTCCAGGAAAGCAGAATTTAGCAGAAAACACACAAAATATCACAACTGAATACCTAAATCCAAGGTTAGTAGCCTGCTACTGGAAACATATGTAACCCTGTGGAAATCAAGTTCTATACTGCAATTTTTAAAAGTTTATATCTTTGTTTTTATTGTGTGAATATTTTACCAGAATATATGACTGTTTGGCAAGCCTGCACCTGGTCTTTGTGGTGGTCAGAAGAGGGCATCAGATGCCCTGGAACTGGAGTTACAGGTGGCTGTAAGCCACTGTATGGGTGCTGGGAATCAAATCTGGGTCCTTTGAAAGAGCAGTCAGTGTTCTTAACCTCTGAGCCATCTCCCTAGCCCCACAATTTTTATATGACAAGAAAGAGATATAAATGGAGCTTACCTCAAAAGGTCCAAATTTATTTAAGAATAAAATAGTAGTTAGAAAGGAATATCAGCAAAACAGAAAACTTTTAAAGCAATGTTGCTGATAATTTATGTTGAATTCGGACCAAGACTAAATTACCTTACTAAATGAAGTTAGTGATAAGTATAATGAAAGCAGCAGAGTTGTAACTCTCTGGGACTCAGGAAAGTGAAGAATACCCAGTATGTGCCTGTGCTGAGATGGTTCGAACCTTATGAGCCTTATTTGTTTGTGTCTTCTTGGCAGAAAGGGCTACCCTTTACAAGATACCCAGAAGGAATAATTGGTATGCGCATTGTTTCAGGGGCTGGAGGTTTGCTGTCTTATAACTGGGAATTAGTAAGATACATATTACTTAGACTACAAACCATTTTCAGGGCTCCTAGGGCTTTCAACAGGTCTCTAGATTTGATAGCATCAATTCTTTCTTGAATTGACTGCAAAACTGGAGGCAGGACCTGGAAAGATAGCTTAGCAGTTTAAAAGGCTTGATGCATTTACAGAGAACATGGGTTCAGTTCCGAGAACTGACACTGAGGCTCTCGATGCCTGCAACACCAACTGCAGTGGATCCTGCGCCTCCTCTGGCATCCACAGGTACTGCATACATGCAATGTGCATTCAGACACGCGAACATACACAAATATGAGCAAATAGCAATGCACATACTCAGAAAAGAAAAGAAAAGAAAAGAAAAGAAAAGAAAAGAAAAGAAAAGAAAAGAAAAGAAAAGAAAAGAAAAGAAAAGAAAAGAAAAGAAAAGAAAAGAAAAGAAAAGAAAAGAAAGAAAGCCTAGAGTGAGAGTTCCAGTTCTTCCTGAAACCGTAGAGAACAGAAGAGAGATTACTGGGTGTGGCCTCACGAAATACCCCGGAAACACAGCTCTCTCCCCACCCACCCACATCCCGCTCGGGGGACATTTTGTTTGGCAGGCACAGCGAATGCACACGAGAGGAGGCACCACATACAGAAAAAGCCCCTTTCGTGAAAGCAAAGTTGCCTCTACCTAATAACGGTGGCAGACAAGGTGAGTTGGGTTCCCTTTGGCCTTCCTTTTAAGAGATCATTTGTAGCACCTGCTAGCTGGTGGTGAGTGGGCGTCAACTGGGACACCATGTTTTTCCACAGAGTTGCCTCAAGTTTGGACATTAAGAAAAAAAATAGATTGCCAAAATGGGTGTTTGGGGGAGGACTTCCAAAGTCCTTAATATGCAACTAAATTCAACCATTAGGGTGAGTATAGGGCGCTTTGCTCCTTTTCCTTACCCAGGTAATTTTGTCCTTGAAGGGAAACTTTTGGTCACTCTGTGCAGTTTTCCTGGTGGACAAGGGAGTGTTTTAACCGGCATTCTGACATGTCTAGGTGCATAGCTAGAAGGTTCCTTCTGTAGTCTGCATTTTATACTTGCTGAGGACAGGTTCTTCTAGATAGAAAATAGAAATGCAGGTAAAATAGTACATATCGAATATTAAACAGCATTACGGTTACACTGAGAGCACCAGGGGATTAGACATACGGCATAGTTCAGAAGACTGTAGTAAAATATTTATTTTGTCTTAAATTCTGTGTGTGGGTAGGTGTGAGTTGTATATGTCCAGGGAGATTCGATGTGTCAGATCTCTCTGGTGTTTGAATTCTGAGGAAGTGTTAATTGCCAATGTAGTTATTGGAAGTGGAA